GCCGCGGGCTGACAAAGGCATGGAGGCCGAGAGAGGGGACAGCATTGCTGGGAAGGCGGGGAGGACGCGCCGGCAGCCAGGCTCTGGGGTCCAGCCCGCCAGCAGCAGGCTGTGAGCTCACGCCTGCGGATGGATGACACGTGCAGAGCCCAGGGCACTTGCACAAGCGGAGCAGGAGGGGCCTGTGGGGACCCGAGGTGGCAGACAGGATGCTCCGTCCTGCTGGCCGTGCCTGGATTCCAGGTGCAGCAGGGCTGATCCTGTGAGTGTGGGTCCCTGGCGTGGGGCTGGGGCAGGCCCATGTCAGAAGGACGTGGTGCTGCGGAGGGCTGGCCCCTAGCTGGATCCTGTTTCAGGGTCTGCAGCAGTGCTGTGCTCAGCCCATTGCCAAGAAGGTCCAGAAAGGCCCCAAGGAGGGCAGCGGGACATGAGCAACAGGAATGCTCAGGGTGGCTTCTCCTGCGCGTTGGTCCCTAGAATGTCAGAGCCAGGAACGCGCCTGGCCGCCCCAACCCATGTGGCTGTCCAGTCCAGCGCTGGAAAGTACAGCTGGCAGGAACCTTGCTGTAGACTGGATGCCCCCAACCTCATTGTAGTGGTGTGAGGTCTGCAGGCCGGCAGAACACCGGAGCTGTGGACGCCTGGGAGTCTTCACCCAATTTCAAATGACGTGTGGAAAAGCCTGGGGACCCAGTAAGAGATCTGTCACAGGGGCAGGGTCACTGCAGACGTTCCCAGCCTCTGAAACTGTAAGCAATAAATATTGTTTTCTTATGAATCACCCAGTTCCAGGTAATTTTGTCATATGCAACAGAAACAGACTAATACAAACCCCCTCCGCAGACTGCCACAGTGGGAGCTGGGCCTGTGGCAGGGCACTCACCTGGTCCAGCAGGGCTGTGGCTCTGGGAGGAGTGGGCGTCCACCGGGGAGCCTCTGAACAGGAAGGCTCAGCTCACCCCACACCGAAGCCTGCAGCTCTGTCAGGCACACACAGTAAAACTGTGCTAATAAACTGCATGTGGCTGTGTGTCAACCGACTGTCCCCCTCACCAGTCACAGGGTTGTTTCTGGGTAGCCCTGGCCCCAATAATCTCACCCAAAGCTGTGAGGCCGCGCCCTTGAGGGGGCTTGGCCGATCACCTGGTTAGAGCGCGGGGTTGGTAACACCAAGGTCGAGGGTTCAGATCCCAGTACCAGCCAGTCACCCCTAAAATTCTATTTGGATCTTTTGCATATCCTCCTGATCATTAAAAATAATCCTCTCGTTGCTTATTTTTGTGATTTCATCTCATATATCTTTAGATATTTCCTGCATACTATTTAGTATCCTGTTTAGAATTCCAAACCTGAAGTTTCTGGGGATCTAAATCCACTTTTTAAATTTTTTCCTGCTGACACTCATGATTGTTCGCTTTCTTGGTGATCTTTGATTATGTGTTTATTTTGGTTAATCTTAAACTCTTAAAAATCTAGGTTCGGAGGCCAAGTTTTTTCACTTTATTTCTGCCAGGGTGCAGGGGCTCCGCCAACCTGACACCACGCCAGC